AAGATCGAATAATATATACGAAAAACGACAGTGCTTAAGTCGGACCTTACGGATAAAAATGTTATCAGTTAAGTTATAATGAAAACTGATTATTCGTAGGGAATAATATAAATGACGTGGAATGCCACGTGATTTATATAGTAACCTAGCGATAAATCAGTTATCATCCACAACCTAACCAATAACAAGTACTTACAAAAAAATTATTTTATATGTTATAATCGGGAGCAGAATTTATATTTAGCATCCTAATTTAAGCCATTCCCACTTACGACATATATTATTCGAAATAATTACTTTTGTATACATAAACCTTTCAAACCTATTGATTTAATGAGGAAAGAAATTAGAGAAAAAAATTCGACATTAATGTATTATATAAATTATACATACCTGTTTACATATTCAGCTTCAATTGATGTTGGTTCCGTCACTATTTTACAGATACCATCTTCCTCGCATTTTTCTTGACAATCATGCTCTTCTCTAATAAAATTATAATTAATGTATAGATCAAAAATATATAATTATCAAAATCGTTCTTTTTCTGAAGACAGATGAGAATGATAGACAAAAAATAAATCAACTCGTAAAATCTTTGTTTACCCGCAAAAATGAATCGCATTTTCTTCAAAAGCATGGAAATGATTTTTATTGTCGCATTGTCGTTGGCAATTCTTTATCGGGCACTCAATTGGACACACATCTTTTTGACATTTATGAACATCATGTTCTATCTCACATGGTATCTATTTTTTACATTTATTAATTTGAGAGTGCATAATATCATATACTTATTATACATAAAAATACTTATTTACCATGCATTCGTTTTTGCACTCATATTTTCCTTTATCTGTTATAGCATTTAACGAACACGGTTCTCCACAATAATGTATTGTTGAGTTACACTTATGAGCCTCATTTCCTTTTGTATTCTCATGCCCATTTTCTTTTGCACATAGACCTCTTTGACAATTTTTTTTTTCAGCATAAATACAAGGGGCACCACATAAATGTAAAAATGAGCATTCATGTTTACCATCATGCGCGGCAAAGTGCTCACAAATTGGAATGATTCCATCAGGATGATTTTCTTTGAATTCACATTCATGATGGCATTCGTGATCGGTTAGACAGTCATGAATTGCATCGTCTGGGTTGTCGTCATGTCGACTAGTTTTGAGACAGGATAAGCCACATTTATAACATTTAAGACGACAAATGTCCCAGAATAAACTGAGGCGGTTTATTTCACGTTCAAAGGCAAAGTTGGTAATAATAACTTCATTATTTTCTTTAGAGAATCTTGCAAGATTCTTTTCAATCCATTCGTTTACCCTTTTTATTCGGCGACCGACAATGAATTTCAAAAATTTATCTAGATTAGACACCCATACAGAATCTGGAATTGATCCACGAGCATAAACTTTTTCCTCAAAAAATTTTCGTAAATCTAATAATAAGTATTATGATATTTTTTTAGTACATGTCATTTATAATAATATTATTACAATGAATAATTTTTCTCGGTGACCTCCAATGCTAATTTAAGAACGCTCAAATTAATAATAAATAATCCAAGTACTCGTCGATAGGGTTTACATGGTTGCTGTATAATAAATGTCGCAGTTGATGCTGAAACTTGGATTTTAAAATAAATGATAAACACTTCTAAATCCGTTGAAGCTCAATTCCCGAAAGTTATTTATCCACCAACTCATTCTCCGACACCACAATACCGACATGCTATTTCATCTACAGCATATTTTTTTGATAAGACATATATTCGACAAGACATTTCCAAGACATTTCCCTGACAATCATAAAATTAGCCCGATTTAGCATTTGTGTTGGTTAGAATTATATGTTGGGAAATGATTGTCGGGGAAATGTCTAAGAAAAGGAAATGTAATGTCAAGTATGCCTATTAAAGAATGTGCTGTAGATGAAATAGAATGATGGCATTCTGGTGTCGGAGAAAGGAGTTGGCAGGTAAATAAAACCTATTATCCGGCAGCCTATTATGATTGTGCTGACAAAATAACTCGAGTTATTTGGCAGTGAAACGTCATCTGCCAAATAACTTCGTTATTTGGCAGTTTATGTAATCACTACCAAAACTCGAGTCATTTAGAAGCACAATCGTCATAGGATACCGGATAAAACCGTTATTGTATGCTACGCTAGCCAATAACTCCTAATGAATTATTTTACAAATAATTCTCGTTATTGGCTGCTTCGCATCCAATAACTATATATTATTATGCGTACTTTAATAGGGAGTTATCATTGTTTTGGACTGTCAAAAACCTTCAAAAATCACTATACTTAAGTATTATAAAAAAAAAAAAAAGCATATAAATACTGTAACACTTTGAATTCGAATATCAATAACACTATAGACTAAAAGTTATGAAGAAGCGAAAGAGTACGTACTTTTGTGAAAACAAAAAAGGACAGATTTGAGTAGAAAATATCTTTGAACAATGTGATTTCATTCAATACGTTGACATTTATAATTTATAGTACTTGAATTTATATTGGATAAAATTATTTAACGTTAATAATTTAGAATTTTTTAATTGTGGTTGATTAATGTGGTGCGAAGTATCGGCCTCATGATCTTTGTAATCAGAACTTGAATCTGAAAAAGCATGTCAAACATCCATTCTCATTTCTAATCATTGCTCCAGCCGTAATAACATTAATTATTAAATACTGGTATTTCCTTTTAATGGATCTCCAATAATATTCCCATCTTCTCTATGAACTTTAATTTCTTTTTTATTACAGTAAGCGAATGTGGAATATTTTTGTTGTAATGTTCAGATAAACGATAACTGTTGGTGAGTTAATTATAAGGAGGCCAAACCCTACTTCTAAATTCTAAATGTTTCTCATCATGTAAAACTGTGGCGTAGAATTTACCAGCATTAAAAAAAGTGTGGACTTTTTTAACGACCAAATTTTAGTATGAAAGATCTGAAATTTAAAATTTTCTGTGAAATGGCAAATTCTATAGAATCTTATTGATATGGTTTAAGAGAAATTTGAATTTTGATCTTTCGCAACAACGATTGTCGCCCCTTTGTTATCACATTTTCGATGAAAAGTTTTTGAAGAAAGACCATCTAGACTGCTTCGAAAAAGAAGATTAAAGTTGTATTGAAATCCTTTCGAAGTCTTATCATCTATAGTTTTTTTATCTATCCATTTCATCAATAATAATGCAATCTCCTTGTTAATTAATACTGAGTCGATTTTAAAGTTGCCCCATCTGATGAGAAATGTGTTGTATAATGGTTTGACATTGGAATCTAAAAAGCAAGTAAGTATATCCTCAATTAAATGTTCCGAAAGAAGGTGCTTATATTTCCATACTTCGGGCATGAGCTCTTTATGATCCATCTGATAAAATCTAATTAATTTAATTAATTCATGTAATGTCTTGTTACTGCTTTCATTCTTAATGACTTCAGTTGGATGTCCCCACTCAACCAGCTTTTTCCAGATATCACATTCTTTCATATCGAGGTTATCACATTTAAGAATCAATTTTAGTGCACCTTCTTCTAATGAAAGAAACTCCTCTGAATCAAATAATAATTTAGGTTTTTTGCAAACGATTTCCAAATAAGCTTCTTTAAGTTCATTGAATTGTTCATTATGAGTAACAAAATGAACCATTTTAATGGGATTTTGTTGTAAGAATTTACAACCATTTTCAGTTAAAAATTCTTGAACAAAGTTAACAAGTTTTTGAATTAAAAGTTCATCTGCAGCAACTAGAAGCTCTAAGATTATTTCAACTTCTTGACTATTCAAATCCACTATTCCACAATACAAAAATCTATTCAAATATGTACAGTACATAATACGGAATTAGAATCCTAAAATAGTTGTAAAATTTTAATTTATTACTTACTTGAGTATAATCTTAAAAATTAATGCACTTATATTAGGTTTGGATAAAATAAAATAACCATCTTTTTTTTCAGCCCATTCATCAGATAATGCTCTGCGAAAATAAGGTGATCTGGTGCAAAGAATTACAGAATGAGCATGAATTGGTTCTACATTTGGTTCTTTTCCAACAGTGATAATTGTGTCATAGCGTTCTTTGGTCTCATATAGATTTTTAAAATCTTCAACTAGGTCTTCAGAAAATGTTTCGGCCATTATGCTACGTATCTTCTAAATTCGAATATTAGATATTGTATATTACAACATCGAATTACAGATTAAAGCCAGGATTTTATGAAGATATGTTTCCATATTTAATTTTCTAAATTTATTTCGTTAATTTGTGTATCTTAATTTGAGCCACCACTTCCTATTTTGCCTAAAGGAAATCGGCTAGGAAAATCCAATCTTATTTCTCCGTTCGGGTAATACATGTACTATTGAAGATCCGCTCCCTTTAACGTTAAGTTTCAACTTTTATTAATATCGATATCGATATTAGCTTATTTTTTTCCAAATTTCTCTTAAACCATATCAATAAGATTCTATAGAATCGAAAAGCATAGATACGATTAGTCATGTGATTGGAAGAATGCCGGCGCGCCAAAGGTGCCGGAAATAAATTCAATTAAAGGACTTTAAGTCCGCAGAATACATTGTGAGCAGGGACGATGATTTTCTGCGGCAATTAAATCAAAGTTCTGTCGGTATTAATTTGTAATTTCTGTGATTTTTAAAATACCGCGCTCAACTGAGCAAAAAAGTCAATCAGACTTAATTAATTACTACAAATATTCATAATTTTTTTTTTTTTTTTTTTGTATTAAGGTGAGGCCTTGCTCGTATATTTATTTGGCAGTTTATTTAAATAATTATAATAACTACCCAACTTGTACAAGACAAATAAATATAAATTACATGCAAGAATAAGAGCTCAGACTAAAAGATT